TCTTGTTTGCGAGTCCGTAAGAGAGCTCGGGGCGCGCACGGCCTTCCTCACAGGCACGTCGCTCCTGGAAACATTCAAAAACACAAGCCTCTGTCTACTCCTGCATTCCGCCGGCTGGACACTCGGGCCAAACGGCCCCCACACCCACGAGTGCTATCGGGCACTGGGCTAGAGAACACCACAACATTTGCACAACATCCCCCGCCTCCCACGCTCCTCTTTATTGTGCGCACACATGCAGGCACGACTGACGGTCACTGTTCCCTCTAAGCTGAGTTAGTGTGAGCCAGCTCACAGTTTTTTAGCCTCCGGCTCACACATTGTTTGTCTCAGCTCCGGAAGGATGGCTCCAGAGCAACCTAATTGATGCAGCAGCCAAATCGCTCACTCACAACTTTCATGCCAGCAGCTCACAAAGTAGAATTTTTGCTCACAAGACTCCACAGTTTAGAGGGAGCATTGCTGAGAGTCACCCTGGCCCTTTCCGGCGGCCAAGCACAGAAACAAACATCAGGCTCTCGAAACCGGAGGATGCAAAGACGCCAACTTATCTAGCAGCTCCTGCTCTCCTTGCCATGATCCCGGGACGGTCACTCCAGAACCCACAGACCAGCAGCTGATGGAACGAGGCCTTGGATGAGCACCAGATTAAGAAAACCACCACATGCATGCAACAGGATGAGGGGTGGTCATGGTGTCAAGTCACAGCCAACTTAAGGAGACCCCATTTGGGGGGGGGGGGGGTTCCAAGGCAAGAGACGTTCAGAGGCCGTTTTGCCCTTGCCTGCCTCTCCGTAGCAACCCTGGGCTTCCCCGGCGGTCTCCATCCGAGTACTGACCGGGCCAAACCCTGCCTTGCTTCCGAGGTATAAAGAGCTCGGGCCACCTTGGGCCATGCGGAATGCAGGCAAGGGACACTTGAAGCAGGACTGTCTGGGAGCCTCCGCAGCTGTACAGTCAACCACGCGGGCCCCACTTGTACGACCACCAGGAAGCCTAAGAACAACCTTAGAAGCAGTTCCGATCCATCAAAATCTATTAAAGCTTGCCGAGAAAATGTGCATCAAAGAGCAACGGACGTTATTCCCCGCAGCTCAGATGGAACAGAACAGCCTCAGTCTTCAGAACTTCAGCGGAGAGCCAGCCCTGCAAGCTCCAAAGGGAAGAAGAAGAGGAGGAGGAGGAGACTGGATTTATACCCCATGGCCCTTCACTACCCGAAGGAGTCCAAGAGCGGCTTACAATCTCCTTTCCCCAAAACAGGCACCCTTTGAGGGAGGTGGGGCTGAGCGAGTTCTCTTGAGAACTGCCCTTGAGAGAACAGCCCTGAAAGAACTTGTGACTGGCCCAAGGTCACCCCAGCAGCTGCATGTGGAGAAGTGGGGGATCAGACACGGTTCTCCCAGATGAGAGCGTACTTTTAACCAGACTGGTTCTCAAGGTGCTACCACCTAAAGGGCCCTGTTCCAACTAGCAAACACTACCGCCACTGTGAGCTTGGGAACAGCTCCGAACCCCAGCCGGCTTAGTCTTCTAAAGCTCAACTTCTCTGCCACCGCATGTACATGCTCAGGAACCAAGTACAGAAAGAGCCGCATGACCGGGGATCCTAAGCCAGGAACTTCGGGGTGCCCCAGGAGGCAGGGCACTTTAACAGATAACCCCCCCCCCCCAAGACGCTCTCTCGGGAAGGCAGCCACTTTGGGTCTGCAGGAGGACAGCTAGACTGGAGTTCCGCAGCACCTGAGAGACCAACAAGGTTTTGGGAGGGTGCACTTCTGAGAGTCAAGAAAAGAAGAGATCAAATTTATACCCCATGGCCCTTCACTACCCAAGGGAGTCTCAGAGGGGCTTACAAATTCCTTTCCCCTCCCCTCCCCACAACAGACAGACACCCTGTGAGGTGGGTGGGGCTGAGAGAGCTCTTGACAGAAACTGCTCTGACGGAACTATGGCTTACCCAAGGTCATCCAGCAGCTGCGAGGGAAGGAGTGGGGAATCAAACCCGGCTCTCCCAGATTAGAGCCTGCGCACTTTAACCACGACACTCTGTTTTTTTCCACCTCAAAACCTGGTGCCCCCCAAATCTTGTTGGATTCCAAGCTGCCACTGGACTCAAACCTGGCTCTCCTAGAGAAGCTAAGATACCACGTCGGCAAACAGAAACAGGCCATTCAGCCCAACCGTGGACCCATTTGGCTGAGCAGACCCAGAAATATCTAGAGACACAGAGCTGGAAGGGACCCCCAAGTGTCATCTAGTCCAACCCCCGGCACAATGCAGGAATTCACAGCTACCTCCCCCCCACACACACACACTCCCCCCAGTGACCCCCTGATCTCTGCCCAGGGGAAGGCAAAAAACCTCCAGGATATCTGGACCAGTCTGGCCTGGAGGAAAACTCCTTCCTGACCCCAAAGTGGCGATCTGCATTGCCCTGGGCATGTAACAAAGGGCCATGACAGCCGAATGGGCTCACAATCTGTCTACATTCATATCTTCTATTACACAATGATGCTCTCCCCCCCTCCCCCATCGCATCCACCAACTTTCTCTTCTGGTTAGCGAGATTCATCCATTTGTGGGACGGTCCCCTGAGAGCGGGGGGGGGGGGGGGCACCCGTCTTCCTTTCTTTGCCACACAAGCCCCCACCCAAGGGGCGGGGGTCGGACCACTTAGAAAAACACCAGTCAGAAGCTGCACTCCACTTAATCAGGCCCCATCTCGACAGTCTCTCCATTCCTTGAAGTTTTACGACAATCCTGTGCCACAGCCGGAGGCTCCTGTAGGTTTCGGCTCATGGGAGGGAGACAGGCCGCCATTCTCAGAGAGCGGCTCTGCTTGTTCTGCCCTTGGGCTGGGTGTGTGTGTGTGTGTGTGTGTGCATCACAGCAGAGCTGGCATCTCCGGGCACACAAACATTCCAGGGTGTCACCCTCCCCGGGAAGGAGAGAGTTAACTCTTGACAGGCCCCATCGCAGAGCCAAGTCCTGGCATCCAAGAAGTGAAGAAAGGCACGTTCTACCTTCCCCTCTATGGGCCTGAACTATGGCATGTATCGAGTGGCGTAAAGGCCAGGCTCTCAGGAGGTCGGTGCTTAGCGTGTCCAAGCGTGCGCTTATTAAAGGCCAGGCGCATGGGGCGAGAGCATATTGCCTCGTTCAGCCCTAAACGGCCTAAACACACTGATGGGTGCCCCCTTCCTTCTTGGCTCTATGGCCTCAAACAATGACTGCGTGGCAGCCCACCCACCCCCTTTCCTGTCTTTGCTCAGACGCCTCCCTTGAAGGAACACACATAAACGTATACTTTTGCCTTGCTGTTAAGACTGCTGTGCTTAGGGGGCTTCTTTCCAGGACAGAAACCTTTCCAGGACAGAAACCCCAGAAACTGCTCTTTTTATACGAACACTGCCTCCATCTTCCTGGCCAAACCTTCTGAGACTGAAGCCCAACTTACTTTTTTTAAACAAAGATGTTAAAAGTTACGGCAGCTCGCTTTTGCCGACTCACTGGGCCAAACTGCCAGCAGAAACTTCCGTGCACCTGGAGGGTTCCTTCCAGGCCTGGGCTCCACTAGCACAGTGTCAGAAGCCGTGGGGGCACACCATAACTGGTGCGGTAAACGCACCCACACCGCAGAGGGGACAAGGGTAGCGACAGAGCAAACTGAAGCTGCACCCTCACACAAAAACATAATGGTGAAATATCCCTCTGCACAGGTTTCAAAGACCAAAGAACTCCAACTCTGCCTTGCCAAAACCAAGCCAAAAGAAAAGCAATCTTAAGCGTCAAAATGACGCAAGGGCTCTGTGTGTGCCCATCAGTTTATTTATTTACTTTTATTTATAACCTAGCTCTCTTCCTGGTGGGGACCCCGAAGCAGCCTACATCATTTCCCTCTTCTCCATCTTACCCACACAACACTCCTGTGAGGTACGTCAGGCTGACAGGAAGTGACTGGCCACCAGCAGGTTTCCATGGCAGAGTGGGGTTTCGAACCCAGGTCTCTCAGGTCCTAGTCTAATACTATTGGTAGTTTAGTATTTAAATTTCTTAATTTCTTAATTCAGCAGAGTTTAGCAGAGTAAAACAAATACTCTAACCACCACGCCATGCTGGCCTCTCATTCCCATTTAACACGCGGCCAGTTGCAATCTCTTTATCATTTTGCCACTCCTGAATCCATTAAATATTTTACAGCATTAGCTCAAAAGCTAATTCCAACACAGTCACAACTAATAAAACACACAAAGATTAAGAAAATAAGAGAAGCCAATGTTGGGTCAGGCCAGTGGCCCATCCAGTCCAACACTCTGTGGCACACAGCAGCCAAAAATACCAGGGGCCCTCAGGAGGTCCAGCAATAGAAGCCCTCCCACTGTTGTCCCCCCCAAAGCACCAAGAAGACAGAGCATCCCTTGCCCCAGACCGAGAGTTCCCATAAGAACATAGGAGAAGCCAGTGTTGGATCAGGCCAGTGGCCCATCCAGTCCAACACTCTGTCACACAGGGGCCAAAAACACCAGGTGCCATCAGGAGGTCCAGCAGTGGGGCCAGGAGGACACTAGAAGCCCTCCCACTGTTGCCCCCCCCCCCAAGCCCCAAGAATACAGAGCATCCCTTGCCCCAGACAGAGAGTTCCTATGAGAACATAAGAGAAGCCAATGCTGGATCAGGCCAGTGGCCCATCCAGTCCAACACTCTGTGTCACACAGTGGCCACAAATACCAAGTGCCATCAGGAGGCCCAGCAATGGGGCCAGGACACTAGAAGCCCCTCCCACTGTTGCCCCCACTGAACACCATTAAAGATTAAAACTACACTTCTGAATTCGGTGCAAGTGGAAGAGTGTCCCAGCAGAGCACGAAAACCAGGACACATTTCCCTCCCCGTTAACAGATTTATTATTTTTTAAAAAATGAGTTCTAGAGTAGCCCCTGGGAAGAAGGAGAGATGGAGTTGTGTGCGCACACATCTTTTTAAATGAAGACACTCACCTGTTTGTGCATTTCTATGTTCAGACCGTAAGACATCTCATAGTACTGTAAAAGAAAAACACGTTGTTGATCATACAAGAAAAGACGTGGAAGCCCTGGTGTCTCATCTCCATGTTAAGGCGCACAAAATCCAGGTTCCTAACAGCTTTCCGTTAACAGCCAAAGAAAAGAGCAAACCTGGAACTCCCGCCCCAGGGAGGCCTGCCCTGCCTGACATATATGTCTTTAACAAGATGATGGCGCTTTGACACCTGCCCTCCTCGAAAGCTTCTTAGGCTAGCCGGATAAGACGTAAACAGCCTAGCGGGTCTGTTGGGTATTTGCATGTTGAAAACACTCAATGTGTATGCATGGGGTTAAATGTCTGTTCTGTTGTTACAGGAAATCACCTGTCTTTGTGTTAGCCAGTGTTAGCTCAAGTCTGTTAGCCCGGGAAAAGCATCCCTGTTCTAAGAGTTTGATTGGGAGCGAAGTGTTAGTAACTTTGCATTTTATGAGCCCTCTTCCCGTCTTTGTTCGCCTTGGTGTAGAAGCACGTTGGAGGGCCATCTTTTTCCAGTTCTTCTAGTCTAGAGAGGATGTAGCTGAATTAGCTCTCTGTTATTTTCTCCCAAGTTTACCCTTCCCTATGGTAGAATTGTAGTAAACTTTTATATTTTTAAACACACATGGACTCTGGGTCTGATTATTGAACTCTGGCATTGCTAAGCTGTTTTTTAACTCTGCTGAATTTCTTTAAAAACTATAACAAAAGGTTATGGGCCCAGTAAGCTTCTGACGCGCAATGAGACCAGAGTAAAAGCAACCAATGTGTGTTAGGATTTTTCTAAGGTAGAAAGAAATTTTTTTTAAATCGCAATTGGATTAAATGGTGTCCAAGCAAGGCTCCTGATTTTTTCTCCAGTGCCTGTGAAATCAGTCTGAAAGGCTGTGTTTTCTGGCGGAGAGAATTCTTATGTGCCTTTCGTCTTGAGAACATCTTTTTCCCTTGTGAAGCAAGCCGCAAGCCGGAGCTTGGAGCCGAGAGAAAGAGGAGGGGGTGAGACCGATCTTGCCGGAGCAGCTTGGAGGTCCCGCGCACATCAAAAGGAACGCCAGTTCTCATCTCTACCCTGCGAAGTGGTGAAGTATTGAGCAATTAAGCAATTGAAAGCCAGCATGGCAACTAACAAGAACCTAGCATTCTGTAAAATCCCAGTTCTGAATAAGGATAATTTCGACTACTGGCTTAGAAGTGTTAAAAATGCTCTTCAATCATATTCAGCTCTTTATGTAATGAATACAGACCCCCCCCGTGGGTGCAAAAGAGTTGGAAAGATATGTGGCTAATGATGAGCTAGCGATAGCCATTATCATGAAATCTTTGTGTCCACGTGACCATAGAGAAATTCTAAAATGCCAAACGGCCAGAGAGATGTTAAAAAGGCTGAATGATACCTATATTTCTAAGTCTGAAACTCTGCCTCCTGTTTTGGCTTATCTGAAAGAAGGCCAGAGAAGAGCCCTTTCAAAAACAAAGGATGACTTGTCTGTGTTAAGTATTAAATCTACATGTGATAGGAACAAAGGCAAGAGGAATGTAAACTGTTTTCATCGTGCCAAGAAGGGGCACATTGCCCGCCATTGTTGTTCAGAAAAGTTGCCTGATTCAAAGGTTTTTCAGGAACAAAGAGATCAAAAGGCTCACGATCAACCTCGCGCCAAAAGTGACCGCGCTCAGTTTAACCGGTCTGCAAAAGGACCCTCTAGAGGGCGTGGCCAGAGTGCGCCTGGCAGTCAAGCAGACAGGCGCAATGTTTTTACTGTGATAGAGAAGCAGGAAAGCAACTTGCATACATTAACTGTCACTGGAGACAATGACCCAGATGATCTAATTCTCATCGATAGCGGATCTGTTTTTCATGTGTTTAATTCTGAAAAGTGGTTTTCTGACTTGAACAGAGATTGTAAGCCTGCTCTTCAAGGAGCTGCGGGCGAATCTCTTTCAGTTGCGGGGACAGGAACGGTCCAGGTGTATGGCATGAATTCTGATAACAAAATAGTTGAGGCAACCCTCAAAAATTGTGCTTTTGTGCCCAACGCCATACACAACTTGATTTCCACAAAGAGAATAATGGAAAGTGGAAGTTATGTTGATCTTAGACCAAATCATGGAAAGATCTGGAGTGAGAGTGGTTTTAACATGATGTTACAAACAAATGATGGTTTTCATTACTTGAGACATATTGCTAATGCTAATTTTGATGATGATGACGAAGTTGAAGCTAATGGAATGGTGTGCCATACAAAATCAACTGAATGCAATCACAAAGACTGTTTGTTTGCTTGGCATGTGAAACTTGCACATAGAAATATAAAATCTGTGAAGCAATTATTGAAAGAATGCAATGTTGACGCAGCAGAATGTGAGCTCATGAAAGATGGCTGTGATATTTGTCTTAAATCCAAGGGCACAGCTCCCTCTTATAAGACTACTAAACCTCATGACTCAAACACTAAACTGCTAGAGTGTGTCTACTCTGATTTAGTTGGGCCTATTCATGCATCTGCTGGAGGTAACAGATACTTTGTCAGTTTTCTGGAAGCAAAAACCAGATATGTTTACACCTACCTGCTTAGAAGCAAAGATGAGGTGCTTGACAAGTTTAAATACTATGTATCTGTTGTTAAGAACAAATTTGGCAAGGCGCCAGAAGTTTTGTTCACTGATAATGGTACAGAGTACTGCAGCAGTGAGTTCCAAAGATTCATGGAACAAGAAGGAATTGAGCATAAGACAACAGTGCCTTATTCGCCACAGCAAAATGGCACGGCTGAAAGATTAAACAGAACCATACAGGAAATGGCGCGTTGTATGCTAATGCAATCTGGACTTCCAGAGTGTTATTGGGCAGAAGCAGTCCACACTGCGGTTTATTTGCATAACCGAATCCCATCTAAAGTTACCAATAAGAGCCCTTTTGAATTATGGCATAACCGAATGCCTGGACTTAAACATTTAAGAGCCTTTGGATCAAAAGCCTATGCGCATATACCAAAGGAGAAAAGGGGCAAGCTTGATCCAAGAGCAGAGATTGGTGTCTTAGTCGGATATGCCTCTAGTGGCAAAGGGTACAGAATTCTAAACCCTGAAACTGGATATGTTAAAGTATGCAATGTGGTACGTGTAGATGAAAGCAATGTCATACTAACTCCTAACCTGGCTGAGTCCACAGTGCAACCCACTACTACAGAGGATACTACTGATGTCTCTTTCTTTGACGTGTTTACTTGGCAATCTGCGCAGACCACCTGTGACCAGGCAGGTCCATCTCCACAAGAGAGTTCCAGCTCAGAAGGGGAACCTGGAGAAGCATCGCCAAGGGTAAGAGAGACGATCACTGTGAGACAATCGGCAAGGAGTACCAAAGGTGTACCACCACCGATATATGGAATTTGTGCAAATGTGCAACCAATAAAGGAACCTAATAACTGGAAGGAAGTCAACAGACTACCTGCACCTGAGAGAAGCAAGTGGATGGATGCAATGGAAGAAGAATTTGCATCTTTACAAGACAAAGAGGTATGGACTCTTACTGAATTACCTCCTGACAGAAAAGCCATCGGTTGTAAATGGGTGTACAAAGTAAAGTATGACCCTGATGGCAAAATAGACAAATACAAAGCCCGTCTAGTCGCGAAAGGATTTTCACAGAAATATGGAATCGATTTCTCGGAAACCTTTGCACCTGTTGTGAGCTACACATCCTTCAGGACACTTTTGAGCATAGCAGCCTCAAGGGGCATGCACGTTGAACATTTGGATATCAAAACAGCCTTCCTCAACGGAGACCTGGATGAAGAAATCTATATGCAACAACCAGAGGGATTCTCAACAGAAGGACAAGAAGGCCTAGTGTGTAAACTCAACAAGAGTGTCTATGGACTAAAACAAGCAGCCAAAGCCTGGAACGAGAAGCTGACTAAACTGCTACGTAAACAGAACTTTAAACAAGGAATAGCAGAACCTTGCTTGTTCACAAGACTTAAAAATGGAAAGTATCAATACATACTAATTTATGTTGATGATTTGATTATTTGCTGTCAAAATCAAAGTGATGTACAAGAAATTGCTGATGGACTAAACAAGGAAGTTGAAGTGAAACAGTTAGGAACTGTACAATACTATCTTGGAATACAAATTGAAAGGACTGATGATGGAAGTTTTCTTTTGAGCCAAAAGCAAAAGATCATGGACTTTATTGAATCTGTAGGAATGAAAGATTCTGCAATTGTAAGCACTCCAATGGATAAGGACTATCCCAAGCTTACTGAAGGTAAACCACTAAAAGACAATCATGAGTACAGATCTGCAATTGGAAAATTATTGTATTTGAGCACAATCTGTCGTCCAGACATTACTTCAGCTGTTGGACTTTTGTGCAGAAAGACCAGTTCACCTAATGAGCATGACTGGAAAGCTATCAAGAGAATTGCAAGATACCTGAAAGGAACTTTGGATTACAAACTTAAGATTTCAACCTGTGTTGAACCCAGACTGACTGGATACATGGATGCCAACTGGGACAAAGCCTCACCTGATGGAAAATCTACAAGTGGATACTTGTTCTACTATGGAGACAGTTTAATTACTTGGACTAGTCAAAAGCAAAGCATTGTAGCCATGTCTACTGGAGAAGCTGAATGTGTGTCAGCGCAAACTGCAAGTTATGAACTTTACTGGATCATACATCTATTGAAGGACTTCGGCATAGATGAACCAAAGCCAATAATTCTTTTTGAGGACAATCAAGCCTGTATTGCTATCTGCAAAGGAGAAGGAACCAAGTCTAGAAACAAGACCATCGCACTCAAGTGTCACTACGTGAAAGAGCTGCAAGACCAAAAACTGATTGAACTGAGATACTGTCCTACTGACCAGATGATTGCTGACATCCTGACCAAGCCGCTTGACAAGCAACGTTTTGAGAATCTTCGTGAATGTTTATATTTGTCTGACTTTCGTGTTTTAACATGAGAAGGGGTGTTGGGTATTTGCATGTTGAAAACACTCAATGTGTATGCATGGGGTTAAATGTCTGTTCTGTTGTTACAGGAAATCACCTGTCTTTGTGTTAGCCAGTGTTAGCTCAAGTCTGTTAGCCCGCGAAAGCATCCCTGTTCTAAGAGTTTGATTGGGAGCGAAGTGTTAGTAACTTTGCATTTTATGAGCCCTCTTCCCGTCTTTGTTCGCCTTGGAGTAGAAGCACGTTGGAGGGCCATCTTTTTCCAGTTCTTCTAGTCTAGAGAGGATGTAGCTGATTTAGCTCTCTGTTATTTTCTCCCAAGTTTACCCTTCCCTATGGTAGAATTGTAGTAAACTTTTATATTTTTAAACACACATGGACTCTGGGTCTGATTATTGAACTCTGGCATTGCTAAGCTGTTTTTTAACTCTGCTGAATTTCTTTAAAAACTATAACAGGGTCCCAAGAGGGATCGCAGGCATCTTTAGCAGAGGTTCCTGCAATGTCACACACCCCTTCCAAATAGCTCAGGGGCCTACTGAGCCGTACACAGGGAACGAGCTCCAGACAGCAGCTCAAGATGCGAGTTCAAGGCCTACGCGTTAATTATGAGTTCCAGGCTTCCTCAGAGCAGAAAGCCACTCTGAAAACAGGGGCAAAACTTGCAGGGCTGACACCCAAAGACGGAGGGTAGGTGCACCTTTACCCTGATAGTAGGACCCTAAATTTAGTGGGTCTTTCCACTTCCAGACTGCGCAGGCCTCAAGGAGAGCTTGAAAAACAGATACTCCTGAAGCAGAACCAAAGACGCTCACAACACCTGTGTTAGATTCAGGTGGGTCACCAAATTGGTCTGCAAAGTCTGGGTCCAGGGGCACCCTGAAGACCGACCAAGCTTTATTCTGGGTGTAAGCTTTCGTGTGCACGCACAAAAGTGCGTGCACACGAAAGCTTACACCCAGAATAAAACTTGGCCGGTTTTCAAGGTGCCCCTGGACTCAAACCTGTGTTAATAAAAGCATAAGAGATGCCAATGTTGTACCAGGCCAATGGCCCATCTAGTCCAACACTCTGTCACACAGTGGCCAAAAATACCAGAGGCCATCAGGAGGTCCAGCAGTGGGACCAGGGCACTAGAAGCCCTCCCTCTGTTGTTCCCCCCCCCCCAAGCACCAAGAAAACAGAGCATCCCTTGCCCCAGACTGAGAGTTCCTATAAGAACATAAGAGAAGCCACTGTTGGGTCAGGCCAGTGGCCCATCCAGTCCAACACTCTGTGTCACACAGTGGCCAAAAATACCAGGTGCGTCAGGAGGTCCAGCAGTGGGGCCAGGACACTAGAAGCCCCCTCCCACTGTTGCTCCCCCCCCAGGCACCAAGAATACAGAGCATCACTTGCCCCAGCCTGAGAGTTGCTATCTATACCCCGTGGCTAATAGCCACTGATGAATCTCTGCTCCATAAGCTTATCTAATTCCCTCTTGAAGCCGTCCATGCGTGTAGCCGCTACCACCTGTGGCAGTGAATTCCACGTGTTCAACACTCTTTGGGTAAAGAAGTACTTCCTTTTATCTGTTCTAACCCTACTGCTCAGCAATTTCATGGAGTGCCCACGAGTTCTTGTATTGTGAGAGAAGGAGAAAAGTACCTCTTTCTCTACCTGCTCTATCCCACGCATAATCTTACAAACCTCGATCATGTCACCCCTCAGCCGTCGTTTCCCCAAGCTAAAGAGCCCCAAGCGCTTTAACCTTTCTTCCTAGGGAAAGTCTTCACACCCAGAATAAAACTTGGCCGGTCTTCGAGGTGCCCCTAGACTCAAACCTGCGTTAGAAATCCATACAGATACACCCGTAAAGATTCAGGGAGGGTCATCCAACCCCAAGCGTTCCCAGCACCACTACACAAGGAGAAGATCAAGGGATGGGGGGCGGTACTGCACACCGTTTGGGTGCTGCAATAGAGCAGAGGCTCCTGGGAGGGAAATTCCCATCTTGGCCACCCTCAGCCACAACCCAAATGTTCGGGGCAGCCAAAAGCAGAAAAGAATGATCAGCAGGATGAGCCACACAGCGCGCCCGGAGCAGTGACGGAACAGCAAGAACCACAGAAGAGGGATCGGCAATTAAGCCTCTAAACCACCACCAGGCTGTAATTCCCACTGGTGATGTTGCGCGCGCGGGTGACGCCAGAGGCCCGAATTAACCCATGCGCTGCAGACTGCACAGAGCGGCTCCCGACTTTCTGGGAGTTTCCCCAGGAAGAAAAGCTTGCGTCCGGGAAGGGCTCAGTAAAGAAGACGCGCTCTTGTCCCTTGTGTCAATGTGGGAACTGTGGGTGTTCCCCAGACACTAGAAATCCAACACACAACGAATTGCCTAGGGAGAGCCAAGGGCTCAAAGCCCTAGAACATCCAAGGAAAAAGGCAAGGGAGGAATGCGCGGGAGCATCTTACGGCACCCACACAGTCCCTGAAGAGAAGCATTAACTTTGCCACTGCTAAAGACGTGAAGGCTCCTGGCCCGGAAGGCTTTCAAGCCACATGGTTTTTTTAAGGCCAATTCAGATGCCACCCTAAGGGGATCTTTCCGGCCAGTCTGGAAACCAAAGGCTGCTAGAGCCAGACCACCCAAACGACAAAAACCAGAGAGAGCCCTAAAGAACCACAGGGCACCCACAAGCCACTGCCAGGTCCCCACTCACTACATTCATGGTGTCATTTCCAAAGCCAGTCTGGAGGCTTGCAGGCAATTTAGGCCCACGACCCCCCCCCTCCCAAACCACACTTGCCCCTCCTCTCAAACCCCATAGATGTCCCAGTGCTCCTGCCAAGCATGCCAGCTGCGGAAGTCTCTTACCATCACGTAATGGCGTTGCATCTCTGTCTTTTCGTTTGCAAGTTTATCGTATTCCACTTTAAGACTAGAAAGGAAAGAGCGTAGATCAGAGAGTGGGCCACATTGCACGGATCCTCCAACCACACACACCACAATTAGTGGAGCGCGGGGGTGGGGGGAGGAGAGAATGAACCTTCCCAGCCCTTCCCCCTTTGAATCCACATGCCTTAGTCTCCTCCTCTCCCATGGGGGGGGGACGAGGAGGATCTCTGCACATGCTCAAAGGCACTGGCTCCCCCCCCCCTGCCGCCCATTTCACACTGATGACGGCACCAGCATGGAGAACAGGTTCAGGGATTAAAGGCTCGGGGAGAAGCAGCTCCAATTAAGCCCTCGTTAGGGAGAGAGGAGAGTTCACTGGCTAGATTGGTGGAGGCCTTGCAGGTTCCAAGTTACACCCTGCAATTTGTTCCAGACAAAACAGCACGGCCCATCCACTCGGTTCACCTGAGGATGGCTTCAAAGCCAGAAGGATCCTCCATGTTAAGAAAACACCACGGCCCTTCCTTCGCTTCCTCAATCCTGTTTTCATAGCAATCCCCAAACCCGAGGGGGCTTCTTTAAAAAGTCTCGAAATGTAACCCGAGCAGAGGCATTAAAAAAATAAATAAATCATGGCTCTTGGGAAAAACGGCCACCCCCAGTGTCTCTTGAAACTTCTGAGCATGCACAGAGTGCCGCGACAGGGCCAAGGCCTGCTCCTGGGGAAGGCCAGGGCCGCTTCCGCGCATTCCATGTCCCTCTGGCAGCTTCCTAACCCTACTTAACCGGAAGAAAACACCGTCTGGGAAACAATGGGATTTACTCGCGAGGAAACCCGGGTCGGGATGGAGCGCCCTTGGGATCCTGGCTCCCGAAGGAGGCAGCGGAGCGGGCGAGCCGACAAGGGGG